ATATCGGTGATATTGTCGACGAGTTTCCTTATGTTTTAGAATGTTCGGCAATAGGCAGAAGTAGACAAACGCTGTTAAAACGGAGTTTTGATCTGCAAGGACGCCACATTTTATAATGAATTCGATCTATATTTTTTATAACCTTTTAAAATGAAATAAATTGAATGGAAAATTTTTCGACTTTGTGAAGATTTCTCAATTGGCTTCAATTATTACAAACAAAACGAAAAGTTAATTTAACATTTTGCAAAAAAAAATATGTTTATTACTTTTCAAAGGAACCCTTTTTAATAGTTTACAAAGTTTACTTGTATGTGTTTATTACCATCACTAATCACAGTGACACTCCTAATTATTAAAGATCAAACGACCTAATCAACACGATAATCGGTATTGGACATGATCATCGGTCGTGCATGACATATCCCAAATAACGGCGCCTGCCGATAAAAACTTAAATAACTTCTCAATTATGGATTGATTTTATCAAAACGAAAAACATAAGATCAAAAATTAAATTACCTATCGAATGCACATCCTAGCTCACTTATTCATCTATTACATGTCCTGGGTGCATTTTTTATGTCCTGAGTGCACTCAGGAGGTCCTGAGCGGTGTTTAGACGTACCGCTAATTAACCCAGCGTTTACCGCTAACATGTTTAACCCCGCCACATTCTGTATGTATGTGCCTGTCCCAAGTCAGGAGCCCGTTTTTCGTTCATTTTTTCTACATAAATTAGGCCGTTAGTTTTTTCGTTTGAATTGTTTTACATTTCGGGGCTTTTTATAGCTGACTATGCGGTATGGGCTTTGATCATTGTTGAAGGCCATAAGGTGACCTATAGTTGTTAACTTCTGTGTCATTTGGTCCTTTGTGGAGAGTTGACTCATTGGTAATCATACCACATCTTTTTTTTTTGTTATTTAGCGTGCATGTCTAATAATACATGTTAGAAGCAGGGGTCCAAAATAGGATCGGGAAAAAAACAGGCAAGTGAAATATCATAATTTCAAACATTTAAAGTGCCTTTGTTTGATTATCTCTGGTTATATCGATAATCTGAAGGTATTAGAGTACAAATCCAGACTTTGCCTACATCAGCTTCATCTGAACTTTGGTGGATTTTAATAGTGTTATAGTTGTCTCATTGTCAATCGAACCGCATCTCCTTATTTTAATTCAGTCCAAAAACTGGAAAATTTTAGCTGCGATAGGCATCTATTTAAAACAAAATACAATAAAGCATTTACTTAAAGAGACCGTTATAGCCTGTTAACTCATTTTCGTTTGTTTTTTTTTTTTTTTTGGGGGGGGGACATTCATATATCGTTGAAAAAAAGGGGTAGTTTGGGGTGGCAATAACTTACCGTAAGGTTTTAATCATGGTTCAACTTTATTATAGAGACTTTTATCCTTGCCAAAGATCAATCTTATCCAAACGGACGTAACTTTTCAGCAAGGTTTACTGTCGAGCGGGAAAAGTCAAGAGATGACAATATTTCTATACTCAAGTCAACCCTTTGGTTTCGAATGAAAAGTGGATAATGGTAAATATTGATGAGACAACAACCCAACGACACAGACAATCCATTCATTTTTTAAATCTCTATCAGTGGAAATCAAAACGGGTACATGAAATAAAAATCAGTACAAGAAATTTCACTATATATTAACGGTAGAGTAGATTATGAACGTGGATCTTTTGTTTTAATCATTAATGCCACTTGCTAAGCAGAGGAACAGCAAGTACACATTTTGACGTCTTTGGATTGACTAGGCCGGGGTTCGAACCCACGACCTCCAGCACTAGAGGCAAAAACACTACCACGAGAAATCCTAAGCTGTCAGAAAAATAGAATATCATACCAAAAAATAAATAATCCAATCTCAAAGAACTCTCCCTTTTACTTAAGCCAGCAAAAAGTATTTAACAAATTGATATCATTGAAAACTTCACTTGAATATCGATGGTCGACTTCAGAGTAGATTGCATGCACGAACGCTTTCTGCACATTAGGTATTCTTGCAGCAATTATTTGAGGGATCCGTGTGTGGTCAGCTGTTGCAAGGCTAAATTTCTGTTTTTATCAATATACCCTCATTTTTCAGTGGCATTCCAAGTTTCATGTCCATCCTCACAGTCGACCTTTTGTTTTTGCTATAAAGGGCCTACCTATTGTACTTATAATTAACGTGTTCTCGTTATGAACATGCATGAAATATTTGCCACAGTACGTAAACCAAACAATATTTATCAAACAACTTCATAAATAATTCCTTGTAAACAGTATACGAAGGCAAGATATTGAACAATGCTATAAAGTAATATTTCCATGAATATGTTTCGATAATTATGGAAACTTTAACGGCCTTTTTTCAGTTATCTCTTTGAAAACCACTACATGGATGAACAGTAATATCTATTTCTTTTTTTAATTTTTTTCTTTCGTTCTTAGATCTACTGTTCACGGTCTATTAATAAGACTGTGTCAATTTATTATGAAACTAAGCCAATGGAAGAATAGATTTTCAAGGGGGGATTTCTTAGTTGAGACGTGTGAAGGACATGACGGAATACTAAAATAAAAGTGTTTATTTTTATGTAATACATTGTATTTCAATTTAAGAACGATTGTCAATCTTGCCAAAATATCTCATATGTACCAGTTTTGAGCAAGCCACTCAAACCTACATAACTTGATCCTAAATATATTACATTTTATAGGCCTTTTCAATACGATTTTATTCATTAAAGTTAACAGGCACAGTTTTGAATTAAGACAAACAAACAAAACAATATTTATAAGATTTCAAGGTCGTCAATAACAAGCATGAAATATTTGCCACTAAACGTTCAGCAAATATCAATGAAATAAAAAATGCATGCATGAAACGGAAATTACCGAAAATAGCCATTGGATATATTGCATTAACGACAACTTTATATGATATTGAAATGTCATTCATTTTGTTTAGTACGATTCACCAATTAGAATGAAAAAATAATGATTAAAAAAAGTAAATCATTTCGGAATCGCTGTGATATGAGACTGCAATCCAACAATACAAGCTAAACAGTTTTTATTGTCTTAATATCTTTCTTATTGATTTGTGATGCTCCTTAGTCTGGATCACACAAATTATTTGCATTGAAATCATAACAGTATTGTATTGTAAACGTTTGTAAAATACCAACAAAACTATCTTAGATGACAAAACGCATCCAATTTTTATCCTATGGGAGAAAAAATAATCCTATAGGACAAAGTTTATCCTAAAGGAGAACAAAGTATCCTACAGGACAAAATTTATCCTAAGGGAGAGAGAAAAAATCCGATAGGAGAAAAATTATCCTATCGGAGAGAAAACATCCCACAGGACAAAATAAATCCCTTAGGAGAAAAAATAATCCTAAGGGACATTTGTTTCTGAGAAAAAGTCGTTCATGATAATCCTATAGGATAAAAAATATCCCATCGGATTTAACACTTTTTTTTGAAAATCCTACAGGATTCTAAATCCCGTAGGATATTAATTTTATCCCATAGGAGATACATTTTCCTATAGGATAAATAAATCCGATAGGATTTAAATATCCCATAGGATATTAAAAATATCCTACGGGATTATGACTTTATCCTATAGGATTTCATAAAATCCTGTGGGATTTTTAAAAATCCTATGGGAGAAAATAATATCCTACAGGATTTTGTCACTGTTTTCACTCTAGTTGCCGAACCAGGCGAGCCACACCAAAATCTTTTCGGTTTTGTTTTACCTATCCCCAGAGGTACATTATTGCCAAATTTGATGATTCTACCGACAAAAAAAGTGTGGTTCCAATTTGCACTCATGAGAAGTGCAAATTAATCCAAGAACATGTTAAAAGTAAATTTTGTAAAAAAAAAAATTCCATTTTTTCTGTATTTTGCTTATAAATGGACTTAGTTTTTCTGCTAAGAAACATTACATTCACTCTGTGGTTAAAGTTTTTGAAATTTTAATAACTTTCTTAAACTATCCTGGATTTCTACCAAACTTGGACAGAAGCTTGTTTATGATCATAAGATAATATTCAAAAGTAAATTTTGTAAAAAAAAAATTCCATTTTTTCTGTATTTTACTTATAAATGGACTTAGGTTTTCTGCCAAGAAACATTACATTCACTCTGTGGTTAAAGTTTTTGAAATTTTAATAACTTTCTTAAACTATCCTGGATTTCTACCAAACTTGGAAAGAACCTTGTTTATGATCAAAAGATAGTATCTAGAAGTAAATTTTGTAAAAAAGTAAAAAATAAATTCCATTTTTTCCATATTTTACTTATAAATGGACTTAGTGTTTCTTCCAGTTAACATTACATACAGTCTGCACTTTAAGTTTTCAAAACATTTATTAGATTCATAAACTATCCTGGATTTTTACCAAACTTGGACAGAAGCTACATACAATCAAAAGATAGTATAGAGAGGAATATTTTTATTAATTTTTTTCCTCATTTTTGTTGAGCCTGCGATTAACAGCAAAAGTAGGCGAGACACTGGGTTCCGCGGAACCCTTACGAATTTTCTTACATTTTTTAGTCACCCGAAAACTCATTTGGTGATAGTAACATCACAGATGGAATAGTCCATTGGCAAGTATTCAAATACAACACAATTATTGTTCAATTCCAGGAAAAAATGTTCTTCAATTAACCATTACAAGTCTTTTTATTGTCTTTAAATTATTTTGGTCCTAATGGTCCTATAATTGTATTTACCTGGAGAAAAACCTTTTGTTTTTGTTTGTTTTATAGAATGAGAGGATGTACTTGTTATATTGTATATTGTTTTTTTTCTGCATTTATATGACAAAATTGGTTGTCAGAATTTAAAATAGCAATAACAGCTCCCAAACTTAACTTTTGTTCTGGCATATATCACTCATAATAAAAATATAAAAAAAAACGTTCATATATATGTATAACATCCTTCAAATTTTAAAAAATTCAAACCTGTATGTTGAGGGTTGCTTGGAATATGTGCACCAATCCCCAGAACAGCCTGAATGGTCTCCAAAGAGGTGTGGAACTATACTGTCTAATCTTTCACAAAGTTCATCCTCCTTTGACTGTTTTGAACTTATAGCATACATATAGCATCTAAGTATGTAAGGAATAACTCCTTTCCCCTTCAGCTCTCTGTACTTATTTGCTGCTGCATACAGTTGTTTCGACAGATTTTTCTTGACATGGTTCTTGTCGTCTCTTTTTTTAATTTTTTCAAATTTTTGCTTCAGACTTGATGTTGTTGTAGAGTCATTATCTGCGTGAATAATGCCAACTGTGCACCCTCTGTCGTCCATCCTTGTAACCATGGATAAAGCCATGTTAGGCTCCATGCCTTTACTTGACCCTGTAACAAAAATGGACATTGTAATTAATACAATTAATTATGTGAGAACTGTTTTGGATGACTGAAACATATTTCATCTCCCTTCTTATAACTTACAAAACTAAATTATTTGACATTGTAGTCTAAGAATAAGGTCATTTAAAGGTCATGGTGGTACACAATACACATACTTGATTTGTAAGCGCATAGCCATAAGGCGGTGTTATGACTATGCAATCATAAACCAAATATCATTGTCCTTTTTTCAAGGACCAAAACAAAAAGTTATGTTTTTGTAACTGTAATAATTAAAACTAGACTCATTGAGATGGAAGCCATCTCTGTGGGCCTCGCTGTGAATAATGTGTGGAAATTTGTTTGTATCTTTACCATTATGGTCATGTGATTGTCAACAGAACCAAAGTTTTTTTACCTTGACCTTTGACCTAGGAAGTTGTACATACATAAAGACACACCCTCTGGTGTTGGTTAATATACATGTTAAGTATAAACTTTGAAATCATAATGGTTCTGAAGATATAGAGCAGACACAATCTTCACCATAGGACATGGGTTGTCAACTGAAACCCAAGTATGAAATCATAATGATTTTCTAGATATAGAGGGGACACAACTTGTTACAGACGGACAGACTGGTTACTATAGGGCAACCTCCATTCGGAAAGATTGCTATAAAAAATTATTTGTTACAAATGTATGTGCTAGCTTTAGCTATAGTTACGACTTGTGATATTCTTATTGTTGTCTGGATGACTAATTTGCATAAACTAAAACAGATTGTGGATATGGTGACGTTTTCACAGAAGGCTGGATTAACCTTAAATCTTTGGATTTTGCTGGAAAAAAACGTTTTAAAAAAATTGTTGTTTGTGTACCTTGCCAATTACTGTTGCATTGATGATTTGGAATTGTTTCCTTTCTTCCCAAATGATGCTGGCATATACTGCAAAGTTTAGTTCTTATATCATAGTCTAGAATTTTCCCTGTCTTTACACCAACTAGACTGGAATGTCTTGAAATATACGAAGTCCGTGTCCTTTTTAGTCACATAAGAAAAGGTCAAAAACAGTTTCTGATAATTATATTCAAAATAGAAAAAAAAGGATAATGTTTGCAAATATAACTTATAAGGTTTATCTATATGACACAGATGCAAATGTGAGTTTTGCTTAGCTTTTTTTGCTGTTTAGCCACAAGTTACAAATAAACCTAAAAATTCCAATGTCAGGTATCTGTTCCAATATCACAATCTACCTTATTACCAAATTTCATTGAAATGAAATAGTAGCTGAGAAATGGACCTTTAATTAGGCCATTAGTTTTCATGTTTGAATTGTTTTACATTGTCATTTCTGGGCCCTAAATAGCTGACAATGCGGTATGGACTTTACTCATTGTTGAAGCTGTACAGTGACCTATAGTTGTTAATTTATGTGTCATTTGGTCTCTTGTGGAGAGTTGTCTCATTGGCAATCATTATGAATCATACCACATCTTCTTTTTTATACTCAACACATTACTGTAGGGTAGTATGGCCTACTTTTTAGTGAACCCCAATGTGCAGTACTACTAGTTATTCATATGGTATATCTATTGATCAAATATCATTGGGCTACCATGTACAGTAGGTGAGATATGGACTTAAACATAAAAACTTAACTAAAATTGGGAGGAAAGGACAGATATACAGAGGGACAAGGGTAAACCTAAATGTACATATGATTTTCATAGTTGGAACCTAAATAGTTATTTTGGACGAGTTTATTGATGTGTAAACCTGACAGAATTAAAGACTAACATGCATATTTTAATTTTTACATAAAGTCCTTCTGACTTGATTCAGTTTATATGCAATTCGGTAACCTAGTGAGCACACATCAATAAACTCCTCCACTTTTATTTCCATAATATTACTGATGTTGACATGATACCTGTGTTACTGTTATATTGCCAACCAGAGCCTCTTGTTTGCCATCCAGCATCAAAACTGCATTCTAATTCATCACTTGGGGAAATAGCTTTTTCTTCTGCACTAGCAGTTTTACAGGAATCAGATGCCTCATCCATAAGTGACAATGCTATACATTTCTCCTTCTTTTTCAGTGTCTTGGGATCAGGTGGGGGTATGTTACATGTGCTGAGAAAATTCACAACATGATCAGGACCCATTCCAGAGTGCATCATTGCTGAAATCATTATGATTTACTATGATTATCAATTTTTACCACCTACATACTGCATATATATATATCTTTATCAATTAAATTAATCACAATTCAATAATAGAGCTCAGGTGACAATTGATAGGCTACAACCTAGTGAGCTCACAAAATTCAATGTCAAAATTCATTATGACTTTTTTAATATTCAAGCAGAAATACACAGAAATTATAACTTCCTTACTTAAATCAATTTAAGGCCATCTTTAATAAATTATTGGTTTGCTGTTTACCAACTAGTGTGGGTATTAAGATAAGATTTTTTTTTCTTTTTTGAATGATGCTTAAAACCCTCTTAATTCAAAATAGTGTTATAAAAATAGAATAAGAATTTTCATCCCGGAAATGAGAAAATCTTTTTCTTAGTTTACTTAGGCAAGGTTTTGATCAGAAAGAACAATATATACAGCCCCTGCAGTGATTTGTAATAGCTACGCTGTAAGCCATAGACATATTAGCAATCCTTGGTGTAAGCAACACTGTAAATAATAAATTACACTACATAGTACACAAATTTGAACACCCCATACCCATGTTATGAGTTTGAAAGAAACTACTTTAAAAAACATTAAACGTGTCAGGATGATAAATAAAATAGAATTAATAATCTAACTTTCCTACTTTTTTTCTTACAATAAAGCTTTTTGCACATACCAAGAGCAACTTTTGAGTTGATATCAAATGCTCCTTTTTCATTCCGCTTGCCTGTAGATACCAGTTTCATACCAGAGCATATCTGACATACCACCTCCAAAAGACTACCTAAGCCGTACCTGTAAGATAAAAATTGAATATACTGAAAGGTAGCTGATATCATTTTGTTTTATCGTGAGGCCAAACTTAAAATATATGTTGTTTCCCCTTTTTAGACCCAAATTTTATATAGTGGGTAAGTACTGGGTAGGTACATGTACAAAAATGTACCTGAAGGTTCATGTAGGAAAAATATCTTATTTAATATTTATGAAAGGAAATTTACAAAAATGTCATGAAATTTACAATTACATTTTTTATTATTTATCAAGAGACTTGAAAGAAAACAACTACATTTTGTATTTCTATTTAGAATGTCAAAACAAAACTTTTTGAGTAGGGACATTTTTCTTGTGTATAGGTTGCATTATATAAGGGGAAGGGAAAAGAAACAAAATTCCTGTCTCACTAATTAACGACAAGAAGAATTTTAGCGACAAGAAGAAAAATATTAGCGACAAGAAGAAAAAAATAGCGACAAGAAAGTTTATTTACTATTAAAACAATAGATTTATAGAAAATAAATCATCTAATTATACTAGGGATCCATAAAAATTGAGAAAAATGGTATTTAAAATTTAAAAAAAAAATTTAAAAATTACCCCCTTTTTTATCCAAACTTTCGTGTATACCTTATGTTTTTGATTAATAATGTTAATATTTGTACCTTTTATCCTGTTATGACAGAAAAATTGTGCCATGAATATATGGATATCTATTTTTCTTTTTCCTTTTTGGGCTGCTTGTTTGTTATCTATATCAACCACACTTGCAATAAAATGCATTAGTATTTAAAAAAAACATACTATAGATTTTTTTATCTACATATTCTTTAAGAACTTAAATAGTTCTCGTTAAATTTTTTTTTTTTTATCTCATTATTTGTATTGTATTATGAAAAATTATTGATGTTGTAATGTTTATGCCCTTTGGGGCCCATAATTGGAAATAAAAATATCTTATCTATGTATTGCCCTTTTTTATCTAAAAGTCTGAAATAAATCAAGATTATATTATCTTATAATTTGGTTTTAATCTTTGATATATCAACCATGCCGACTCTACATCAATATTGATTCATTCATCTATACACTATATATGTTGCTATGTTGTAAATTGAAGGTATATTATCTTAAACCTTTTCTTGACAATAAAAAAGCAAAGTTTATAAGAACTCTTGTTTCTCATATATTAAAACAAGGATTTGTATACAAATCTTTGATTAAAACAAGACAATTTAATGTATGTTTCAAAAATTATTTATTTTTTTATAATAATCAATATTTAGATTTTTTACGCTAAATTTGTTTTCTTGTCATTAAATTCTACTTCTTGTCGCTAAATTATTCTTCTTGTCGCTAATTTGTTTCTTCTTGACGCTTCTTGTCGCTAATTATAGTGAGACCCAATATTCTATTTATATAAGATGTGGTATGATTTCCAATGAGACAACTCTCTAAACAAATCTCAACAAGAGACCAAATGACACAGAATTTAACAACTATCGGTCAGTCAGGGCCTACAAAAATGAGTAAAACCCATATCACATAGTGAGCTAAAATGTATAATAGGCAAAGAAACAATCGCTGTCCTGTTAGTATTGATTTCCTACAAGGGTTTGGATTGAGAGAAAAATTGTAAAGATTTCTGCCAGCAGGACATATTTGAAAGTGAATTGCAATCATATTCCTACAAACTTCACATGGTTTTGATAGTTTGTAAAAAATGAAGGGGTGCTAAAAATTATTGTTTACCTCATTTCACCTACTATATCCTTCAGATGGAGTGGGGTGTTGCATCTGTTGCAGAAGAGTTGTTCCGCTAGCACTTCCAACTCAACAACCCTCCTGCCTTCATTCCATAAGATGTTCTACTGTGTCCGATATCAGTTGAAACAGTAACATTGGAGGCTATGTTCTCAACTGATACCGGTGTCTCTTGAATCATTGTCGGTTCTAATGGCAATTCTCCTCTCGTACCGTAATCATGGTCTCCCCATTGAGTAAATTTATCTCTCTCTTTCAAAGTGTCCATCCTTTTAGATTTTTTGAATCTGTCATTCTTAATAAACCGACCGCGAACACGAAGGCGGTCGCGGTCGTCTGCCATTTTCTTTGTTTACCTTGTCTACCGATTGCGTAAAAAAAAATCGGAACCGATTTTAATTACGCAAAATGCACGTGCTATAATAGGTCATGTGATACCCGTCCGTCTCTACCTTAAATACTTCCAAAAAGTAGTTATAGAGATCAATAGGTCAAAATCTATCTGCAATTAAATTTTCAGACCAATTGGACAACCTGTTTTTGGGTTACTGTCCAAAATAGTTAATTTTTTGGAAATTTTACAGTTTTGGGGATTATCTTTAATATTATAATAGATAGAGAGAATTTAAATGGCAGCAAAGTTCAGCTTAGTAAGATCTGCGAAAAAGTGAACATGATCAAATGAGTCAATTGACTCCTTAAGGATCGGAGTTATTGCCGTTGAAACACATTTTTTGTACAAGTCTATTACTTTTTCAAAAATCTTCTTCTCTGAAACTACTGGGTCAAATACTTATAAACTTTAATTGAATGTTCCTTAGGGTATCTAGTTTATAAATTGTCTGAAGTTTTGATCCTTCAACAAACATGGTTGCCGTTGCTAAAAATAGAACATAGGGGTCAATTGTAGTTTTGGCTTATATCTCAATAACCAAAGCAGTTAGAGCAAAAGTGACAGGGAGGTAAAGTGGTGAAAAGGTCAAGATCTACCAGCTTAAAATTTTCAGACCAATAGGACAACTTATTGATGGGTTACTGTCCCGAAATAGCTAATTTAAGAGAATTTGACAGTTTCTGGTTATTATCTTAAATGTTATTATAGATAGAGAAAAAATGTAATAGAAAAATTGTTCAGCAAAGTAAGATCTACAAATACATGAAATAAGCCATATGCCTGAAACTAAAATTACAGGTGAGCGATTTCAGGCTCTTATAAGCCTCTTGTTTCTTATTTCATCCTCATTACTGTGGATTCATTAATATTTGCGGAATACTCTCACAATGCTGCATTCTATCTACACTGGTCAGTGTCCACACTTGTTCTGAATGACTTTTACTTTTCTTGAGTTATTTCCCTTTATAATGTTTTTGCAAGCGGCAGCAACATAAGTATCCCATGAACACTTTCTTTTGATAATGATGATACCAGCACTTTTTATGCTCCCGCCGTAGCGGAGGGGACATTAAGTTTTACCCTTGTCCGTCTGTACATCCGTACGTACGTCCCAAAGTTGGTTTCCTTTCTCTAACTTTAGTTTGCCTCAACCAAATGTTATGAAACTTATACACAATGCTTATTACCACTAAATATAGATCAAGTTTGAATTTGGTGGCGTCACTTTTACTGTTCTAGAGTTATGCCCCTTTACAAATGGAAAAATTGCTGAATTTTTCGTTTCTGTTCACTAACTTAAGATTGCCTCAACCAAATGTTATGAATCTTATACACAATATATAGATATTAGAAGATGTGGTATGAGTGCCAATGAGACAACTCTCCATCCAAGTCAAAATTTATAAAAGTAAACCATTAAAGGTCAAAGTACGGTCTTCAACAAGGAGCCTTGGCTCACACCGAACAGCAAGCTATAAAGGGCCACAAAAATTACTATTGTAAAACCATTCAAACCGGGAAACCAAGTCTAATTTATATAAAAAACGAGAAACAAGAAACACTTATGAACCAAATCAACAAACGACAACTACTGAACATCAGATTCCTGACTTAGGACAGGTGCAAACAATTGCAGCGGGTTTAAACGTTTTAATGGAACCAAACCTTCACCCTTATCTGAAACAATAGTGTAACATTACAGCATAGAAAGACACACCATAAAATATCAATTGAAACGGCTTAATTCAATCAAAAGACATATTACCACCAGTGAACATACACTGAACAAATAAATTTGATCTATGATACAATGTAAATACAAAATAAACTAAGGGAAGAATAATAAAAGTAACATGTTATATCGCAATGCTTATTACCACAATATACAGATCAAGTTTGAATTTTTGTGCTGTCACTTTTACTGTTCTAGAGTTATGCCCTTTTCAAATGGAATCAAATGCAGGGCGCAGCTTGATACGACCGCAGAGGTCGAACCCTAAACAGTTGGGGCAAGTATGGACAACATTCAAGCTTGATACAGCTCTGAATTTGGATTGTGATTAAATATTTGACACAGCATAGGTTTCTGACACAGAATGAATGTGGTCTAAGAACTTAAAAAATTTTAAATTGGACATTCACCTATTATGGTCCAATATCCAAAATCTAAATACATGGTTGGATTCAGCATATCAAAGAACCCCAAGAATTCAATTTTTGATGAAATCAAACAAAGTTTAATTTTGGACCCTTTTGACCTCAATGTGGACAAAGTTGATAATGGGGCCCAAAAATCAAAAATCTAAATACATGGTTAGATTCAGCATATCAAAGAACTCCATATATTCAATTTTTGTTGAAATCAGACAAAGTTTAATTTTGGACCCCAATTTGGACCAACTTGAAAACTGGGCCCATAATCAAAAATCTAAATACATGTTTAGATTCAGCATATCAAAGAACCCTAAGAATTCAATATTTGTTAAAATCAAACTCAGTTTAATTTTGGACCCTTTGGACCTTAATGTAGACCAATTTGAAAACGGAACCAAAAATTAAGAATCTAAATACACGATTAGATTCGGCATACCAAAGAACCCCAATAATTCAATTTTTGATGAAATCAAACAAAGTTTAATTTTGGACCCTTTGGACCTCAATGTGGACCAATTTAAAAATGGGGCCCAAAATCCAAAAACTTAATACACGGTTAGATTCAGCATATTAAAGAACCCCAAGAATTCAAGAATAAAACCCCATTCAAATTGGTCAAGAAATAAGCAATTTATACGAAGTATCTTCTTTTGCACAATACTGTGCAATTGAATATTTCTTGCTATTGCGCAATACTGTACAATTGACAATTTCTTGCTATTGCACAATATTGTGCTATTGGATATTTCTTGCTATTGCGCAATACTGTGCAATTGAAGATTTCTTGCTATTGCGCAATACTGTGCAATTGAAGATTTCTTGCTATTGTGCAATACTGTGCAATTGAAAATTTCTTGCTATTGCACAATAATTATTATATAATAATTTACACATCCTGTTTGGTGTGTATCTCCTACAATATCATTATTATTTGCTTTTAAATATAAATCAGAAATAACCAAGTTAAAATTTTAAAAGAAAAAAAGAAGGAAAAAAAAAAATCCCCCCCCCCCCAAAAAAAAATTTTTTTGAACCCCCTTATGATTCATCACCCCCAAACTCAATCCCAGCCTTCCCTTTGTGGTATGGTACCTTGCAGTACAATTTCAGAGAGATCCATACACTTGAACACAAGTTATTGTCTGGAAACTAGAAAAATGTGTTTTTTGGCCCCTTTTTGGCCCATTAATTCCTAATGGTTTAGGGCAATTACCCCCAAACTCAAACCCAGCTTTCCCTTTGTGATATGGAACCTCATAGTACAATTTCAGAAAGATCCAATACACTTACACACAAGTTATTGTCCTGAAACTAGAAACATGCTTGTTTTTGGCCCCTTATTCCTAAAATATTTAGGAAATTACCCCCATCATCAATACCAGCCTTCCCTTTGAGGTATGGTACCTTGCAGTACAGTTTCAGAGAGATCCATACACTTGAACACAACTTATTGTCTGGAAACTAGAGAAATGCTTATTTTTGGCCCCCAATTCCTAAACGTTTCGGGCAATTACCCCCAAACTCAATTCCAGCTTTCCCTTTGTGATATGGAACCTTGTAGTACAATTTCAGAAATATCCAAACACTTACACACAAGTTATTGTCATGAAACTAGAAAAATGCTTGTTTTTGGCCCCTAATTCCTAAAATTTTGAGGCAATTACCCCCAAAATCAATTCCAGCCTTCCCTTTGTGATATGGAACCTTGTGGTACAATGTCAGAGAGATCTATACACTTAAACTAAAGTTATAGTGCGAAAACTAATGTGTCTTCGCTTATTTTTGGCCCCTTTTTGGTCCCTAATTCCTTAACTGTTGGTACCATAACCCCCAAAATCAATCCCAACCTTCCTTTTGTGGTATTGAACCTTATACTAAATTTTATAGAGATCCATTCACTTAAACTAAGTTATAGTGCGAAAACTAATGTGTCTTCGGACGAGGACAACGCCAACGTCATACCAATATACGACCGCAAAATTAAAAATTGCTGAATTTTTCATTTTTTTTTTCTAAATATCAAGTATTTTTAAAATTGGAGTTTTTCTTTTTCCATGATTATAGTTGAATCAACTTTAATCAATGCTTTATACAATGCAATGTTTAATTTTACCTTCCACGTATATTGATATGACATTGGCGTCGTTGTCGTCCGAAGACACATTGGTTTTCGCACTCTAACTTTAGTTTAAGTGAATGGATCTCTATGAAATTTTACCATAAGGTTCAATACCACAAAAGGAAGGTTGGGATTGATTTTATGGGTTATGGTATCAACAGTTAAGGAAAAGGGGCCAAAAATAAGCGTTTTTGTAACTTCCAGACATAACTTTTGTGTTAGTGTATGGATCTCTCTGACATTGTACCACAAGGTTCCATATCACAAAGGGAATGCTGGGATTAATTTTGGGGGTAATTGCCTCCAAATGTTAGGAATTAGGGGCAAAAAACAAGCATTTTTCTAGCTTGAATCTTTAGTTTGCCTCAACCAAATGTTATGAAACTTATACACAACGCTTATTACCACTTAATACAGATGTAGTTAGAAATTGGGTGGTGCCACTTATACTGTTCTTGAGTATGCCCCTTTATAAACATAAAAATTGCTGAATTATTTGTTTCTGTTCTCTAACTTTAGTTTACCTCAACCAAATGTTATGAGACTTACATGTATACACAATGCTTATTACCACAAAACTCAGATCAAGTACAAATTAAGGTAGAGTCACTTTTACCGTTCTTCAGTTATGTCCCTTTATATCTTTATATGATGTGCAAGCGGGGGCATCATCTGTGTCCATGCATGGACACAATCTACATTTATTTAATTTTATGACGTGTGTAACTTAACATGGTAAGTTTTCCTTTTTGTTTCTTTAATTTTAGGAAATAAAAGGGTGTGGCATGGGAAAGTTGATATTCTTTTACAAAGAAGTATTGTAAAGGTTAGCTTGGAAAAAGATTTAGAAGACCTGAATCTGAAAGATGAAGATGAAGATAAAGAAATTGAAGAAACATCTATATGTAAAGAAGAACTAGCATGTGGCTTAGCTAAATCTCAATTGGTATCCCAGGTCATAGTAAACGCTTTTTTTACCTCTGGTAAACAAAAGTTTCTCCACAATCAGTTTATTCCATCATTTTTTGTGACTGAAAAATACATTAGAATTGTTTTATACCATATTGAATTGGATATTCTTCTTATGAGTACAAAATTGCCAATATGGGATAAGGAAAGAAGTGGTGAGTTGGATGTCATGACACTTATAAGGGTCTGGTTAGCCCTTAATTATTCTGGTTCAATGGATAAAAGTCCAGAGCAGTATCAGACTTTCCTTAAGTACACAAACAGATCTAATTTCAAGAAATTGCTACCAGATGATGCCTATTCAGTGTACTTGAACAACATGCAGCAGCCATTGAATTCTGAAAAAATTGTATCAGATTCTTATTCTGATGACAATGCCGGATATGGTTTTGACACACAGGAGTTTGCTCTTAATTGTATTCTTGAACTTAACAAAGCAATGAAAGCTTTAGATTCTGCAAGAAAATAGAAAGCTGCAGAGAAAGCACATGTTCACTGTGTGTCTCTGTCTTCCTGTCAATAATTGATGTTTGCACTCTTAATTCAATTTAACCAAATTTATATGGAAGGTGTATATGGGCATTTCTTTTTCCAAGTTTTGAAATGAGTGCTATCTGATAAATTTTGTTAGAGTTACTGCCAATGACTAAGTATTTTCCCTATCAACTTTTGTTAGCCATTTCAAATTTGCATTCAGTGGATTCCAACCAAAAATTTATTGAATGTGTATATGGGTAATACCTTAGTCATTATTATCAAGTTAAAAAAAATGAGCACTTTTGGATAATTTTTGTGAAACTCCAAGGTAAATTCTAAATGGAAAGTCCTTTTAAAATCAAACTCATTGATAGTGATCTAGATTCTCCCTTTTTATTCGTTTTAACCAAGTTTATGTTGAAGTTATTTCTTGCCCTATCCTATCCATCATAAAGTTTTTACATGTTCATATCTGTAATAACTCTGGAATAACTGAACAGATTTAAACCTAACTTTGCCAATTTAATTTTTATTTGACTTAAGGATGTTCGCTTCTCTGTTTCAAAATAACAAGCTTTTAAAAGACTGCTATAAATTGAAAGTATATGAATAAAAGAACTAAAAAAAGCAAAACATTTGAAGGTTCCGTGGTCTTGTTTTCAAGATATAAACCATTAAAAATTTGGCAGGAAGTGATTCTCTCTAGATTTTTCCTACATTTAACATTGACACCTTTTTGTCGAGCCTTCGACTTTTGTCGAAAAAGCGAGACATAGCGATCCTACATTCCGTCGGCGTCATCGGCGGCGTGCACAAATATTCACTCTGTGGTTAAAGTTTTTCAAATTTTAATAACTTTCTTAAACTATCCTGGATTTCTACCAAACTTGGACAGAAGCTTGTTTATGATCATAAGATAATATTCAAAAGTAAATTTTGTAAAAAAAAAATTCCATTTTTTCCGTATTTTACTTTTAAATGGACTTAGTTTTTCTGCCAAGAAACATTACATTCACTCTGTGGTTAAAGTTTTTGAAATTTTAATAACTTTCTTAAACTATCCTAGATTTCTACCAAACTTGGAAAGAAGCTTATTTATGATCAAAAGATAGTATCCAGAAGTAAATTTTGTAAAAAAAATTTTTCATTTTTTCCGTATTTTACTTATAAATGGACTTAGTTTTTCTGCCATGAAACATTACATTCACTCTGTGGTTAAAGTTTTTGAAATTTTAATAACTTTCTTAAACTATCCTGGATTTCTACCAAACTTGGAAAGAAGCTTGTTTATGATCAAAAGATAGTATCCAGAAGTAAATTTTGTAAAAAAGTAAAAAAAAAAATCCATTTTTTCCGTATTTTACTTATAAATGGACTTAGTTTTTCTTCCAGTTAACATTACATACAGTCTGCACTTTAAGTTTTTAAAACATTTATTAGATTCATAAACTATCCTGGATTTTTACCAAACTTGGACAGAAGCTACTTACAATCAAAAGATAGTATAGAGAGGAATATTATAATTAATTTTTTTCCTCATTTTTGTTGAGCCTGCGATTAACAACAAAAGTAGGCGAGACACTGGGTTCCGCGGAACCCTTACGAATTTTTTCTTTCAAAAACTATGAAACAATAACAAGGATTTTATAAGATTTTCAAATATGGCTTTTTAAACTACATTGTATATGTACTAGAATTATGAAATAAAAAGTAGAGGTTTGTGGGCTAAATTTTTGAATGGCACTACATGGATAAAATCAGAGGATTCTGAATATCTAGCAAAAATTCAAAAACAAGAGGAGCGAACATCCTTAAGTGAATAAAAACATGGTCTTTGAAAAAAGTATTGGGTTATAAAAAACTGTGGATTCCTTTTTATTCGTTGTATAAAGTTTTTTTTTTTTTCTTTCTTTTTTGTGATTCACTGCATATCTCCAATTTAAGAATTCAATGAAGAATAGTGACAGCAATCTGGCATTAGAGTTTTAATTATGTCAATTGTGAACCTGAAAGGTACATAATAATGTAATTTAAATGGGATCATTTATTTCAAAATTAGTGCAATCTGGTACATTTTCTATGGAATACAATATTGGCATCATTAATAGAAAAATAAAATGATTTGCCACAGAGGTACGTGTAAATTGTATGGTTGAGAATGAGACAACTCTCCATCTAAGACCAAATGTCATTGATGTAAATACTTTTTGCAAATGAAAAACAAATTGTATCTGTAAAAATTTATTAATATCTTCATATTTCATTCATGCTTTTGAATATAATTCTATTTGAATATTTTTTGGAAACAAGTTTTTCTTAGGTGTTTACTGTTAACTAAATATAGCCTGTCACCATAGTCACATGATGTGAAAGTGACAGAATATCAGTTATCAGCTGATACTGTGGTTAGAACAGATCAAGGGCAATTATATCTCAATTAAAAAAATCTGTTATCTTTTTACTGTTATGCACTTTATGACTTTCCTCTGTTATCTTATTTATTCATTTTTTTATGCCCAACCTACGATAGTAGTAGGGGCATTATGTTTTGTGGTCCCGCTCCAGGTTAAAGTTTTTGGTCAAGGTAGTTTTTGATGAAGTTGAAGTCGAATCAACTTGAAACTATGATATGATCTTTCTAATCTTAATGCCAAATTAGAATTTTTACCCCAATTTCACGGTCCACTAAACATAGAAAATGATAGTACGAGTGAGCAGGTTAAAGTTTTTTGTCAAGGTAGTTTTTGATGAAGTTGAAGTCCAATCAACTTGAAACTTAGTACACATGTTCCCTCTGATATGATCTTTCTAATTTAAGTGCCAAATTAGATTTTTGATCCCAATTTCAAGGTCCACTGAACATAGAAAATGATAGTTTGAGTGGGGCATCCGTGTACTATGGACACATTCTTGTTTGTTTTGATATAGTAGTTGTATATAACATGTATAAAATGTGTTAACACATTTTAAGAATTATATATGAATGTTTACCCTTTGATAAATGACAATTGTATAGCATATTATGCTATAACAATGGATAAAATTTCAAAACCATGATTTCCACTACCTTCCTAATAAGTACCGATTATCTGGTTGTCTGCATATTGATATTTTTAAATACCAGTTGCGAGTCACAATATGAAGCTTATTGTGGAGTGAGCACAGCGAACGAGTTCAAAAAGGATTCATATTGTGTAGAGCAGCTGATATTTTACAAAATAAATATGATGGCAATCTGATAATCGATTTATCGGATTGTATTTGTGTTTTTTGCATGAAGGAAATAAGTATTTTCTTTGTTTTACAAGCAAACCGAAAGAATACTTGATAAGTTCGGGTCAAACTTATCAAATTTGGTTCAATCATTATGACGTCAGGGATAAGTCTGGGTCAAAGTTATTAAGGCCATGTTAACGTATTCGACCTCACAAAGCCTGTGCAATTTTATTAAGAGCTGAGCAGAGTGATACAGACAGTGGGAACACCGATAAAACTCTTTTTTTACAGTTCCTTTTTGTTTCACGGGGTTGTATATCAACATACCCAACATCTCCTTTTCTCCGTTTAAAGTACTTTCAACTTATTTCTATCTGTTTTGTTCAAACTGTTTTAGGTTTCTTCATAATGAACAAGATGCCATGCATCACTGTTAGGTTTTCTTTTAAAATATTCAAAATAATGAACAAATTGTGTAGAAGTGTGTGACTATTTAACTTTTAATCAGGAGCCAGGGGCATGGAAAAGAGTTGAAAATACGTTGTCAGGTCCAGAAATTTGAACAAATACTTTTATACTGTTATATTTACATAACATTAATGAATTTTGATATATGTAAGAATCCATATAACTTTTGAAGGTTTGATATTCAAGTTTTTGTCTCGTCTTGACAGAGTCAAAAAGCGAGACATAGGTATGCTGTTTCAAGCGGCAGCGTTAACAATGTAATAGTTTGTGATTAGGTCTAGTTTATGGTGAACCACTTGTGGTAAGTCAATAATATTTGGTATGCAGTTGTATAAGCATTGGCATATCTTATTTCCATAGTGATTATTTGGCCCAGCCCCCTCAGTCATGGTCTATTGACTTTGAAACTTTTGCTTAGTTTTCATGTATTAGTTTGTGATTAGGTCAGTCGATGGGGAACTACTAGTGGTAGTTCAATGATATTTAATATGCAGTTGTATAAGCATTGGCATATCTCATTTCCATGGAGAATATTTGGCCCAGCCCCCTCAGTCATGGTCTTTTGACTTTGAAACTTTTGCTTAGTTTACATATATTAGTTTGTGATTAGATCAGTTTAAGATGAACTGCTAATGTTAAGTCAATGATATTTGGTATAAGTCTCTTTTCCATTGAGATTATATAGCCCCACCCACTCATCATGGTTCATTGACTTTGAAACTTTTACATAGTTTACAAGTTCATGTTTATGTTTAGGTTTGTTTAAAGGGAACGACTTATAATAAGTCAATGGTATTTGGTATGCAGTTGTATTCGCATTGGCTCATTTCATTTCCATGGAAATTGTTTAGCCATGTACCTTCAGTCATGGTTCATTGACTGAATATTTGCATAACTTACATGTTAAAGTATTGCTATTTTAATTTCAACCTTTGATTATCAAAATTACAAAAAGGCAAGACATATCTCTGTGTTAACAGTTTATTATATGTCTGTCTTTTAAGACAGGACGTATTATGGTATACTGTTGTCTGTCCGTTCATCTGTCTGTCTGTCTGTCTGTGGTCAACAGGTACAATAACTCAAAAATGCCTTCACCAATTTTCATGAAACTTTGGTGACTTGATTAAATCTATTGTTGTAATCTCCTTTTTATAAATTACAGATTTTACGTTTAGCATTTATGGGACTTTAGCCATTTGAATAAAGACAATTTTTCACATTTCACACACTAACTGTAGTATGCCTAGATTGATTTCCTTGAGACTTTACATTATTGTTGGGATTGATATTAGGAAGCTTACTTTTGATTTTTTTTTTTAATATTTGTCACAGAGTTACAGGACTTTAACAATTTGAATTTAAAGAGGCAGCTAGCTATGACAATCGTATTTTTTGGTGAATGCTTTAAATTAAAATACTAAAAATATAAATGAAAAAATATGATTCATATCATTTTTGGTACTCTGGTGAACAAAATTAACTGTTAAATCGCTATTGTCTGTTTAACCAGAGCTCATTAATTCTGAAAGGAATGTATTTTTCATGATCCAAGTGATGGTAATTTATATCCCTTACCGGTAAATATTTATAATTTTAATTCACAAGCTAATACTCAACAGGTAGATTCTAGTTCTGATTTATCCATCTAAACATGCATACTCGTTAGGCCAGTCTTCTTTTTATGAATATTGGCGGACTTAGTTTGACCTAATTTGAGGACAACAAAGATGGATTCTGCAAATAAAAAATGAATTTTCATTGCGAGAACGTTATGTGTAGC